TTTCTGGTTGAACCTTAAACTGACTTGATCGTAGGAGTGCTCGCGGCCACTCCCAACCCCTCAGGGAGAGGCCACGGGTGACTAACGGCGGGCTAAGTGTGCAGGGAAAAGCCAACTAGAAGACTTATTCTGTTGTCCACGTGTCGAAGTCAGTTTTCGAGGTCAACATTTTCAGTGAGTAGTAAAAAATAGTCCAATCAGAAGCTGAAATGGGATGTAAAAACATATAGATTGTTATTCTATTAGTTAACAAGAAAATAATTTGGACAAATTCTAAGAACAGCTACTTCGCACACCTATATATTGATCCTTGAGTAGTTGAACTCGAAAGAGACTACTGTTGGAGCCCCATTTTGAACTCAAAATGCATTTGGAACCCAAAATGCATTTTGAACTGGTATTTTGATGGATAATGTTTGGTTAAAAAATAAGATTTTTTTTTTGAATTTTCGTGTAATATAATTTTATTGAAGAATGTATAGTTGAAAATCAGAGAGAGAAAAATATATCTTAAAAATAATAAAAACCAAACAAGGAGAAATGCTAAGATTTAACGTTTTTTTTGTTGCTGCTTTGTCCTCCATCACCTTAACATAGGACATAGTTTACTTTTTTTCTTACACGAGTCTTATTAAACCTGATTGGCATATTATTGTATGAAAATGAGTCAATTATTATTTTTCCTAATCCTGAAATCCAACTCGATCTTGTAATATACTATCATTTTCGTGGTGATGGGTGTTGCCCTGTTACTCTTCTTGATTACATTGAGAATCCGTGCCCTCGTTAGGGATGGGGCCAAAGGATATCAAGAATTTTGCCATCCCTAAATGCAATAAATAAAAAAGATGATGTGAATATAAATTCTTTTTAATATATTATAGATTGAAGATTTTTTTTTTGTTTGTATATATGAAAAGGGACTAGCTCGTTACAAACTTAAAAAACACGCATTTTTGCTGCCAAAAGAAGTAAGTTAGGGACCAACAGTGCAATTTCTCAAATATAATTTAGGCTTGTCAGTGTCTGTCATGAACCCGAGATGGTCTATTTACTGTGAGGGAAGAGAATTCAATTTTCGAATACACACACAACTACATAACATCAGTTCATTCACGAATTTCTATAATTTTATTTTAGCGCTTTCTAACTTGTTCATATATAGAATTTTTTTTTTAATTGGCTGTGATATTTAATTCAAGAAAAGAAGGAGCCAGACAAAGGAGAAAAGACACCAGCAGAGTGCTGAGGGGGAATTTTAGAAGGTTCAGCCCTATAAAATTCTGAAAACCCACATTTTGATCATTCTTTGTGGTAAGAATTATTTTCTAATGTATAATTTCAATTTCATTGCTGGGTTGGTTGATTATACTCTGTTTAGGGTTTTCTTCTTCATTTCTGTATATGTATAAATCTTACTTGTACGTATAAGTTGACTGTGTATGTCTAATTCTATTTGTCATTTTGTATATGAATTGAGTAAAGATGAAAAATCCGATCATTTATCTAAAATGGGCTGTCTGCTTTATTAATTGAAATGTTGGAAATGATTATATATATAAAAAATCAACAAGCCTTAGCCTTGTATTCAAAGGAGAATGATCCTTTTCCTTCCTGCGTTTGTAGGAACTTGTTTGGTTATAGGGTTCTAGTCAGATTCTAGTTTTTTTGCTTCCAGTTAGATTTAAAGTTGTGGAAGATAGCAAATTGGATTTAGTTATGCATGGTAGTGGTATTTCTATTTTATAACTTTATTGGTAGAAGAGTTGATGACGTGGATGTGTTCCATAGACAAAGATTATTGGCTGGTCAGGATAGTCTTTTAAATGCATTGTGACTTATAATGGAATCCTTGCTTCCTTGTAATCAAATATCGCATCTTTTCTAATTTCTTAGTTGCTCCATGTCCCGACAAGACATACTCATTTTACTTGCTCACAATTGCTTTAAATGTGGGTCATATGTTCATCATTGAAATTGGACCTATAAAATCTAAGTACGATGGATGTGTTTTTGCCCCGTTCCTGTGTCAGGACAAGTTACTTTGCCGTGTTTCGTGTGAGTTAATTTTATTGCTACATTGTTGTTAAGGGAAATATTATTTGTCAATAATTTTTGGCAACATATATTGGACTTTATGTATATTCATACAGTATGATAGGGATCTTGATGTCAAATACTGCGTTGCTGGATTCTCTGCTGTGGTTTGAGGTCCTTCCCGTTCTGTCGAATAAACTTCAAAAAGTTATACTAATAACTGTGGCGTTACTTTTATTACTTTTTTTTATTGCTTTGTGTTGGAGAGAGCGTACAAGTAACCTCCAACCTGCTACTTTTCTAAGAAATGTAAAAGGAGAAAGAAAAAGGAAAATTTAATTCTGTGCAACTTCAGATTATCAGGAGCGAACTGCATTCTTTATTTCTCGTGAGCTTCAGACCAGAAACTAAAAGGAATTTCGTTAGGTTCTTTCTTGAATCGACATTTCAAAATCTATCGTATCGTTAAGTCGTGGTTCTCTATGGGTAGTAAACGCTAACTCTATTTACTACTTACTAAAAGAAATCAACTCTTGCGAGCTTTAGCTGTTGGCTTTATGACGTTATCTCTGTCTGGCTCAATTGTTGATCGTTGTTTACAGCTTTAGCTGTTCTTTCTATTATATGGAAGCTAGACCATATTTAGATTATAGGTATTTCCTTAGCACATTCATAGAAATTATATATAGTGGTATTGTGCAACATACCTAGGACCCTCGCTTTGGACTTTGGAGCTGAATTTCTTTCCTGTTATTTATTAAGCCTTCATTAGGATTTTGTATTTTGAGCTTGTTCTCATACATCAAATTTTCCTCTAGATAAACATAGCTTCTGTGTTAAATTTTTATTTTTTATTTTCCACAAGTGTTAAAGCACACACATTTATATGGATTATAGGTGCTCTAACTGCTTCTCTTCTGAACAAAACGTCAGGACAAGAAAGGATAATTGAATGGGATAATCTCCTGGTGAATGATTCAAGTTGGTTCTCAAGGATCAGCAGTATGAGATGAATTGCTAGCGAAATCAGAACTGCAATTTCAAGCTGATAAGGTCCATGTTCTTTCACACCAGTAATTATAAACCTATTATATTTGCACATGAATTTATATGCTGAAATTCTCTCTCTCTCTCTCTCTTTTTTGTGGGAATTTATGGTCACCATTTATTCAGATGAGTTATTACAATTGTTAAATGTTTGGAATCAAGTTATTTTAAATTAAAAAAGTTTCTACTTTTCAACGTTGGCTATGTGTAGTAATAGATACCGTGGAAGTAAAGTTTTGGTCCATTAAAAACCTACATAATTCTTATTATTTAAAAAGCTATCTACCATGACTCTTGCTTGCAAAATAAAGAATCCATCACCAATCCCATCAAAAACTAGTGCCTAATGGTCAACCTTCTGTAGTTAATTAGTTATAGAACCTGTCAGTAGGCTTCAAGCTTTCGATGACATTGTGAACAAAAATGCCTTTGCCAACAGGTCTCTTCAAGTACCTCAAGTTTCTTGCTATAACATCACGTGTTCCTCATCTTGAACTTGCAAGAACTAAATAACTACATTTTCAGTGAATTAAATATCAGGTCTAGTATGTAGCAACTAGCAATTACAAGTTTTGCCAACAAGCCTCTGGTTATCTATCCTAATTCCCTGCTCTAGATTTTTTTTTTTTTCAATCTTGTGACTAACATTTATTAGTGTAGCAGTTGGCTTACATCCTAACTTACCTGTGTTCTTCAGAGGGTCTAAGGCATACTTTCCATTGGGCTAAAAGATAATTTATCTTGCTGCTTACTTTTGTAATTCAAGCCCAATTTGAATAATATTAACATTTAGAACAATTATTAGTTGGATATTGCTTCTCCTCCTCCTCCTCCTCCTCCTCCTATGCCCCTTGAATGAAATCACTGTTTTGTAACAGAAAAAGGTTGGGTTCTTTCAATTTTGACATTCATATTTAATATACATTTCTTTATTCTTAAACCACCGCCACCGCACTTCCTCCTGGGGGAAAAATGGTATTGAATATTAACTAGGTTATGGTTGATTGATTGTATTCTTTTGGGTAATAGTTTCTTGTATCATAATGGAACAAAATTACTCAGTCTCATTGTCAATGTAAAATTTGCATCAGTATCTAATTTTAGCTTTTGTTTACAAGGACATTTACAACCTATAGCCTTATTTTTCTTGTTATGAATAAAGTGTGCCCCTCCTTTCGCTTAACTTCAATTGCAAGCCCTAAGCTAATGCGTTTTAATCGCCACTTTCTCACTTTCTAATTGTTTGTTGCTGTTGATGGTACCTTAACTTGAGAAGATGCATGCTTGGAAATTGGCTTCAATGTCCTACGACTTCATCTATCTTTGATGGCTTATATCATGATAGTGAAATCCCAGTTTATATTTGGGCTCTCGTGTAGAACTGAGAGATTATCCTAATATATTTCCAGATATGCACATAACTGCATCTTATTTGCATAATAGACACTTAATTTTACTTTTTTCCTTGAGTGTTGAATATTTTGCAGAAACTTTGGCATATATGCGCTCCATGGTCACAACTGCCTTTATATTTTATGTCAACATATATAGACCTTGTTTGGCCCCCATTAAAATTATAATTCATTTTTCTCTTTCTTCTTATCAACCACACATTCTCAAATAAAATAATATTACATCTAATCCTAAAACTTTTTTTTTTCTTTTTTAACCACACATTTTTCAAAAAAACACTATTCCAACCATTAAAATTTCCAATGATGGGGGTCAAATGGGGGGGCATATTATGAGTTCTTCTGTGATTGCTTTACTGATATGAGAATTTATTTGGTGTACCAGGGATGGAGATATCATTGCTAAAATCTCTTCTCAACAGCATAGCTAGTTTTTTAAAATTGTCGTCTTTTGAAAGCATAAAATGTGAACCAGTTCAGGAATATCATCAAAAGATTGAAGAGATGTTGAAGTTATTAAAGCCAATAGTTGATGCCATTCTTGATGTTGATATCCCTTCAGATGAATTGCATCAGAAAGAATTCACTGGACTATGCCAGTCCGTCGATGATTTGAGAGAGATGTTTGAAAACTGGCAGCCACTGATGAGTAAAGTTTACTTTGTACGTGATATAAGCTAAATGATGATATTTGTAGTTCACAGTTCTTTCTCACGCAGCATTATAGTGGAAGTTATAGCAGAAAAAATTAAATGTTGAAGTTGAAAGGATGGTTATTTCCCTTTATGTTCTTTTAATTATTGAACCTTATGCTGACTTAGATGGAACCTATTACATACTAGCGAAATACTTTCCATCTAGCTGATATTTGCTTCGTATCCAGGTTTTACAAGTTGAGTCACTGATGGAAATGATCCAGACTTTTAGTTTGGAAATACTTGAATTGCTGAAGTTTTGTGAGCAACGCTCACCTGCTGAATTAAGTGCTGCATCCCTTGAGGTAAAGGCTATCAATTTATTCTTGTTGTTGCTCATTTTTTCGTCTTAAAAAAAAATTATTCAGAATTGTGTACTCTTTCTTTGATATCTTGTTTTTATCTCCGCGGATACAGAACTGTGAACAGAAAATTAAGAACATGGGATGTGGCCAAAAATCAGAAATAATCACGAAAGCTGTTAAGGATCATGTGGAGGGATTGGGAGCCAGCTCTGAGAGCCTGGCAAAAATTTCTGACAGCCTAGGATTAAAGTCAAACCAGGAACTTCTAATTGAGGCTGTGGCCCTTGAGAAACTGAAAGAAAATGCTGAACAAGCTGAAAAAACTGGCGAAGTTGAATATATTGATCAAATGATTACTTTAATAACCCATATGCACGACCTGCTTGTTATGTTGAAACAGTCCAAGACCTGTAATCCTGTGGCAATACCTGCCGATTTCTGTTGCCCTCTCTCACTTGAACTCATGACAGATCCTGTAATTGTTGCATCTGGACAAACATATGAGCGGGCTTTTATACGGAATTGGATTGATCTTGGACTCACTGTTTGCCCCAAGACACGGCAAACTCTAGCACACACCAATCTTATTCCTAATTACACTGTGAAGGCGCTGATTGCAAATTGGTGTGAATCAAACAATGTGAAGCTGCCTGATCCCATGAAATCTATTAGCATGAATCAGCCTTCTTCACTTCTTGCAAATGTGGAGTCTAGTGGAGGCAGGATGGCCAATCGTTCTCCGTCTCCAGATCCAACTGTGTCTTTGGGTTCTCCAAGAAAGAATTTAATCTCATATAGTGGGATTCAACGAGAGGCATCACCTCCTCACCATCCCCATTCATTGTCAGAGGGTTCTTCACTAGGAGCCACTATACATGGGAATGGGTTAGACGTTGAGAGAATTTCCTCGAAAATTTTTGAAGACAGGTTGGGCCACTCAGGAGAGAGAAGTTTGAACTCGGACGGTCCACTCTCGGTGTCCCCATCTAGAAATAGTGCTGTTGGTGCTGATGAGCAATCATCTCCGAGCCATAACCGAACTAATTCAGTCTCCAGCACACATTCTAATTCTAATGTTTCAGAAACACCTGGTGACGGAAATGAGGTGGCATCAGAGGCTGCTGCCTATGTTAGTGATGCTTCTGGAGAGCTTACATCAGAACCTCAACCGGCTGCTTATGTGAGTGCCCTACACAGAGAGCCCAACTTCCCATCTCAAACAAGATCTCGTATCCCATCAGTTTGGCGTCGACCAGAGAGATTTGTTCCAAGAGTAGTTTCTTCTTCTGCAGTTGAATTAAGGGCTGATCTTTTGGAAGTTGAAACACAAGTTAAGAAGCTGGTTGAGGACCTGAAAAATGCTTCTCTCGATGTACAGAGAAATGCCACTGCTGAACTCCGATTACTAGCTAAGCATAATATGGATAATCGAATTGTCATTGCAAAATGTGGGACCATCAGTTTATTGGTCAATCTACTCCTTTCAACTGACATAAAAATACAAGAAAATGCTGTTACTGCTCTTCTCAACTTATCAATTAATGATAACAACAAGAGTGCAATTGCAAATGCTGATGCAATTGAACCTCTGATACATGTCCTCGAGACAGGCAGCCCTGAAGCCAAGGAAAACTCAGCTGCCACTCTTTTTAGTCTCTCGGTGATTGAAGAAAACAAAATAAAGATTGGCAGATCCGGAGCAATCAAACCCCTTGTTGATCTATTGGGAAATGGATCTCCGAGAGGCAAGAAGGATGCTGCCACAGCTTTGTTTAACTTGTCAATATTTCACGAGAACAAGGCCCGTATTGTGCAGGCAGGTGCAGTGAAGTACCTTGTTGAGTTGATGGACCCCGCTGCTGGAATGGTTGATAAAGCAGTCGCTGTTTTATCTAATCTTTCTACCATTCACGAGGGGCGGATAGCAATTGGTCAGGAAGGAGGAATCCCCGTCCTGGTTGAAGTGGCCGAGCTGGGCTCTGGTAGAGGTAAGGAGAATGCAGCTGCTGCTCTCCTGCAGTTGTGCACTAATAGCGGTAGATTTTGCAACATGGTTCTCCAGGAAGGAGCTGTTCCCCCATTAGTGGCATTGTCACAATCTGGGACGCCTAGAGCCAGAGAGAAGGTGTAGTTTCAATTTCAACGCTACTTTCTCCGTTCTGTAAATTTAAGATTACATATTTACTGGTTACTGACTCTTGCAGGCTCAAGAACTTCTTCGATACTTTAGGAACCAACGACATGGCAATGCCAGTAGGAGATGATTTTGCTTTCAACCTTTGGCCGTGATATAGATTGTTGTCAGTGTGTAGATTCTGTGATGCAAATAATGTGAATGGAGATCCTACACGTCTGTTTGTTTTTTTCTTTTTTAAATACTTTTCGACTTTGTTGAAAGAAAATTTGATTTATGAGGGGCATTTGATTCAAATCTCTCCCCTGTATTTGTATTTAGAAACATATTTGTACCTGTAAGTTTCTTTTATAGGCTTTTATAATGAGATTGAGCAAAGAGAATTATTTTCTTCCATCTAAACATTATCGTGTGTAGTCAAATATGGCTAATCAAAGGAAGATTATATTTCCATCACAACATTTGATCATTCTCCTACTCAACCCCCCAAAAAAATTTTTTTGGTCGCATTTTATCATCAAGCTCCTATTAGTTAGCACATCGAGACCTTAATGAAAGCTTTTGTCATCGGGAGGGCTTAAAAATATTTATTTACCTATCATATTTTTAGATGAACGTTTCAAAGTAGGTTACTAGAATGTTTGAAAAAAATTATCGTCAAATATAAGACATGTTAAATATTGGAAGGTTGAAATCTTTGGGTATAGTTTATAGTGTAACGAAAAAATATTAGTATAAATATAACCCATAAATTAAATTCATTTTGCTATCTTTCTTTTTTTCTTCTTTAATGAAGCGTAATTCGTATATTAAAATACAATTTCTTTTTTTATTTATTTAAAAAGAAGGGTATATTTGTCATTTTACATGACTTCAATGGGGGCAATTGATGCAAATCAGACAAAAAATAGGGACGTTATGTGTCTATTGTCCAATAAATGTCGTGGTTTACGAAGTTCAAGGGTTCTAGCTGTAATTTTCAGTTGCTTAACTACACGTGGCAATGGCGTCATTCTCGCTTCCGCTATCGTCACTACGAACAAAATCAATATTGTCCCCTCTTAAGCCCACCGTTGCCTCTCCCGTGACCGTACAGCCAGTCACTCTCTTTCAAAAATTATATTTTATTCAGCAATTTCGTGCGCCTTATTTATCCCCAAATCCTAGGGTTTTCAGTTCAGAGCCCTTATGAAGCCTTAAAATCTACATTTAATTGCAACAGTATCGTATTTTCTGATGACAGTGTTTGTATTTTGTATATAAGATGGAAACATCCACATCTTCGAATGGCGGGAAGGCTCCAGCTTCCACGGGAGACGGCGGAGGGGCGCCTCCGCAGCCGGTGCCTTTACCGGCGGCGAACACGCCACCGCCTTTCCTGGTGAAGACTTACGACATGGTGGATGACCCGAGCACTGATAAGATCGTGTCGTGGAGCTCGACGAACAACAGTTTTGTGGTGTGGGACTCGGCTGAATTCGCGAGATATTTGCTGCCCAAATATTTCAAACACAATAATTTTTCCAGCTTTGTCCGCCAGCTCAACACTTATGTATGCACTTCCTTGCTAGCTAATTTTGTCCCTTCTTTTGGTGAAACTATTTAATACTGTAGAGTTTGCTTTCACAATTGTAGGTTGATTATTATTATTATTATTTATTATTATTTTTTTTGGAGGACATGTAACAGGCCAGGTAATAGCTTTTGTGGAATCTTATGTCAAGTTTTGTGATTGACACGTTGGCTGGCTGATGAGAAATAACAAATTTAGGTTTTTGCATTTTGATTGTATAGGAGATTAGAATCCAATTTAGGTGTATGATGTGTTCCAGTAATGATCAACTGACTAATAGAGGTTGGACAATTTTTTAGATGACTGAGATGTATGTTGACAATGAGCTTATTTATTCCTGAATTTGAACTGAGTAAATCTTTTGACTAAGTAGAAACCCAACGTTTTAAAGGGCATTTTTTAAAAGTCAGAATGGATCCTAGCTATCGTTGGCCTTATTTTGTGGTGCAAGAATCTATCTAGTTATTCTGCTATTTGATGTACCAAATTTGCATGTGTTAATTTGATTAGGCTCATCAATTTAGCTTATTTAATGGTGAAGGGCCCATATGGCTTTAAGGCCAGTTCTCTTTCACTGGTTTCTTAATGATAGATTAGAATGGACTTGATATAATGGAGCAGTTCTCTGGATTTTTGTCTGATATGTAGATTTCTACAAGGTTAAAAGATTTGTTCTACATAATAGTTATTAGACTTCATACACTAGTTCCGAGTGTTGGTTGAGTGAAAGCCATCTCTAATCAGGATCCAAAGACGTTTAAGCTCTGTTCCAATTCAGATATAAAAATCAAGTTCAATCATCGAAAGTGATCTCTTTAGTCTGATCTTCTTCTCTCTTTTAAGTCAAGTTCTTAAGATAGGAAATCGAAATATCTTTCCTCTGGCCTATGTTGTAAGTTAGCTTGAGATTGAAACTGAACCTGATAGAGACTAGACTTCTAGTAAGAGTAGGTGCGCCTTCAGTTTCCGGCCTATGTTGTAAGTTAGTTCGAGATCGAAACGGGACCTGATAGAGACTAGACTTCTAGTAAGAGTAGGTGCGCCTTCAGTTGGCAAGGGTAGTTCACAAGTAGTGATTATTTAAGAAGCACGGATATGTAAATTTATTGCATAACCGTATTCGATAGTATCCAAACTTGAATATTCTTGTACACTCTTTGACAGGTACCGAATATGTGTTTTTACTCATTTTTTTTATTTTTTAGATTTTCAATACGTATCGGATAACTTAGGACACATAAAGAAAAAGAGTTTTATTAGTTTTTAAATTCCTTGTATTATTATCGTCAATAGATGACAATTTTTTACTTGATAGATAATTATTATTATGTTCAATAACTTATTGAAAATAGATAAATATTTATTAATGAACAAGAACCCTTGAGTAGTTGCTCAATTAGTTAGGCCTTGGGTTTGCTCTTCAATGGTTACCAGTTCGAGTCCCCTCAGTGCCACTGAGGTGAGTACCCGACCGTAAATTTCAGGGCCACGTGGAATTAGTCGAGGTGCTCGCAAGCTGGCTCGGAAATCTACGGTTATTAAAAAAAAAAAAAAATCAATTAACTAGGAACACATTTTTTTGTGTACTCTTATGAGAATGAATAAAGTAACTCCAGATGAAGAATTGGTTTTCATTCATAATAATTTGCGTTTTTTATCAAGAAAATTAATCTTTATTCAAAAGAAGAATCCAAAATATGGGATATTGTCGGCGACTGATTTGATACTCTTGAAGGTGCTGGGCTACTTGAGGTTATTAACTATCTTTGGATGAGTCAAAATTGGATTGTAACTTATAATGATAATAAGAAGCTGATGGTGGTGATGTTTAAGAAAATGAAGTTGGAACAATTAGGGGTTGTTTTCTTCGTGTTTCAGTTTTCAATTTTGAGTTTTGAATTCATTTTGAATTTTGTGCTTTGAGTATCAATTTTGAGATTGCTGAAAACGCGTTCTTTTTGTCATTTTGAATTTTTTTTCAAAAATAAAAAAATGAAGTTTTGGCTTGGTTTTAACTGAAATTAAACAGCCAAAACAACTATTTAGGTATCTAAGACATGCTTTACGTAGACTTAAAGAAACTCATGTTCATGATTGTGACACAATCTTGGAGGAATTAGTTAGATTATGGAGGGATGGACCAAAGCTAACATGGCAAGTTGTATTCTAGTTGCTCTTTTAGATTAGCTAACTTTTTGTAAACTTATAAAATTAAAAAAGGCTACTTTTTTTTTACAAAAAAAAAGTGGAGAAGAAAATTACTTAAAAGTAACTTTTAAAGCCACAAACATGTTTCACTTGATTTAGAAACTACTTTTTAAGTTAACTTACACGTATTTTTGACTTAGCCAAACATCTCTTAGTTGTGTGCTTCACATTTTCTTGGGGCCTATGGAAAATTGTGACGGATTTTTGTTGTGGAATTTTGTCAACCTTTGGTCTTTCTTCAAGTTTAATACAAGCCATGGCTACATGATTTGTGCCTAGACTGTACAAATTTGCACAGGATCTTAACTAAAACAGAATTTAGTACAAAATTGTGAAATATACTGTTATCCATGTTTCCGTTGCTCCAGTTCGGAAGGAATCGGTGGGAGGTCTTTGGGTTGTAAACTAGGGTTTCTGCATCAGCTTGATTAGTAGAGATTCTAGAGGAGAGGGTACAACATTGAGGAGCAATTCACATATTTTCAGTTACCACTTACTAATTAGCTGATGGTAAATCTGTGGAGGATGCAAATCCTATTCTTGTTTTGTTTTACTGCGATATTATCTGCTAACTGAAGACCGGTTGGAATTTTAAGTGTACTGGGAACTGAGTGAAAAATTCTAATGTTTGTTTTTCCTTTTTTGGCCTTTTTGCATAACTTCTAGATGCTTTGAAATGAAAGCTATAGCCAACTAATCAGACTTTTAAATGTTTTTTTGAGGATTTCTTAGAGATGATTGTTCTACCTAAGGATCATCATTAAACAAGGTTTTTTTTTGGCTATAAAGGTGTGTTACCTTCTGGAATGTGTGCTATGTTTAACTGCTTACTCTTTTTGGCATTGCCAAATGAATGCTCTCTTGTATGTGATAAAAGTTTTGTTGAATGTTACTTTTCAATATCATTTCGTTTATTTAGTGCATTATAAAATGTGACATGATGGTTAACTTTTGACCATTCCATTTTTCTGCCTTTATGGGGTCATTGACAAACAGGGATTTAGAAAGGTTGATCCAGACCGCTGGGAGTTTGCAAATGAGGGATTCCTAAGAGGGAAAAAACATCTGCTTAAAAGTATTAGTCGTCGAAAACCTGCACATGGACACCATCAGCAGCAGCAGCAGCAGCAGCAATCAAATGGACAGAGTTCTTCGGTCGGGGCATGTGTAGAGGTTGGGAAATTTGGACTTGAAGAAGAAGTTGAGAGGCTTAAAAGGGACAAGAATGTGTTGATGCAGGAACTTGTCCGGTTAAGGCAGCAGCAGCAAACTACTGATAGTCAGTTGCAAGCAATGATTCAGCGTCTTCAGGGCATGGAACAGCGCCAGCAACAGATGATGTCATTCCTGGCAAAGGCTATGAATAGCCCTGGATTTCTGGCACAATTTATGCAGCAGCAAAATGAGAGCAACCGACGCATATCAGAAGGCAACAAAAAACGAAGACTTATGCAGGATGGCATTTCAAGTGACAGTTCTGTTGGTCCCTTGGATGGTCAGATTGTGAAGTATCAACCTTTGATGAATGAAGCAGCAAAAGCAATGCTAAGGCAGATCTTAAAATTGAATTCTTCTCCTAGGCTTGAAAACTTCAACAATAATCCTGATAGTTTCCTGATCGGCGATGCTTCATCAACGTCTAATGCATTAGACTGTGACAGTTCTTTGAACCATGTTTCCGGAGTGACTCTTCAAGAGGTACCTCCTACTTCTGGGCAATCATTCATCTCATCGGGTTCTGCAAATACAGGTATCAGTTCTCCAGGAGCAATTTCTAAGATTCCATCATCATCTCCCCTTGGTGCAACTTCTGTACTTGCGGCTGATCAATTTTTGGACATAAGTCAGCTGATTGGAGCTCAAGAAGTGTCTCCACTGACACTTCCAACAACAGATGCTATAATACACGAGTTCTCTCAAATTGTGCCAGAAACCAACATTGATGTCGTGGGATCTGCTACAGAGAGTGGTGCTTTACTGGATCCAAGTCCAAGTTTGTTAGCAGGGCATGACAAAATTCCTCTTGAATTGGGTGGATTTTTTTCTGATCCTGAGATGGAATGGGATAACACCTTGACGGATGAGATACAAGAACTTCCTGGGGTGAGTGATCCCTTTTGGGAAAAGTTTCTTCAGAGCCCACATTTAGAGGAGACTGAGGGGATGGACTCCACACTAACAGATGGCATTCCTAAGGAAAATGAAATTAAGCCTTTGGAAAACCTGTGGGGAAAATCTCAACACATGGAACAGCTAACGGAGCAGATGGGCCTTCTATCATCGGATGTGAAGAGAGTTTGATATGGTTTACTAACATATCAAAAGTTTGGGTTGATCTTTTCCGTACTGACAGTAGATACTGTGGCGGCTTCTTTGGCTAGCAAGAGACTGTAAGATTATTTCTCTGATGGGATGAGTTATCACATTATGGCTGATTAAACAATCCTCAAGGGTCGGTGGGTGGGTTTTGCTTATCCTGACCATCATCATCATCATCATCATAATCTCTTCTCAGCCTTTCTAATACCACCACTTGTCACCGACCACTCTGATTACCCGCCCGCCTAACCTCTGTCGGAGGCCACCAAATCACCACTAGTTTATCACCGCCTATAATTGTGTCCTGGATAGACTGGAATAGAACTTGAAAAGAATGAGATTTCATTTCTTGATTTCCTTTCAAAAAAGTTACATTTTGTTTTTGGTGTTCTCATGGAGGGAGAGGTGGATAGTTGTAGTTGTGAGTGGCTGGCTGGCTGGCTAGCGGTTCTAGGGAGGATGAAGATGGTAATACTTCAATGCGTGTGACTTTTATTTATATTGTTATAAGATAAATCTCGTATGCAGTATAGTATTATGAGATACTAAACAATGTAATGTTTTAAATTTAGCATATATACTTTTTCTGATAATATATAATTGATTATACTTTTTAATGAGATTTATAATAAGGTAAAGAATGTGACGGTCCAGTTGGGGCGCGTTTCGCCTATCGTGTTCATATCAAATAAATTCGAACGCGTTCTTTCCACCGGTTTTAGACTTCAAATTCAAAGGCACTGGTTCCGGTTCATTTCATACTCGTTTCCACGAGTTTTATACGTATCAATCAGCATTTAAAATATATTGCAATTAATTAAATAATGAGCTTATTACATAAATAAATAAATAATGAGCATGTTTAGCACTTTCGGTGTTAAAATCTTAGTCTGGGTAACGGCAAGTGATATTAAACAAGAGGCACAATTAAATAAATCATATAAATGTACTTTTTCATCGAGCTTATGATATAATGCTCATTTAAATTCGTATTGTAACACTAGTGATTTTAGATAACATTATTCTTGATAATTATTTTGACATTTGATTCATGGTTCAGTTCGATTTGATTTTAATACTAAACATTGATAGGTTGATGTGTATGAATCAGTGTTCTAAAAAGCGATATCTAGATGCACTGTTTAAGCACGAAGTGGGAGCAAAACGCTTTGCTTTGCCTTTTTTTTGCTCTTTTTCAAAATTTTAATTTTTCTTTCATGCTTAGTAAGCGTTTTTTTATATTTTTTTAAACATTTTTTTTACTCCTTTCAACGTTTTTTTAACACTTTTTTCCTTTTCTTATTAAATAATTTTTAGATTAATTTAAAAATTTAAAATAATATTAAAATAAGAAAACGTTTTTTTTTTTTACTCTTTTTAACGTCCAGGCTTCGTTGAAGCTCGATATCTACGCTTCGTCACGTTTTGCGCTTTTTAAAACACAAGTATGTATTGATCGATGCAAGCTCCACAGAAATTGGGAGTGGCGGCCTCATATGAATCTTTTGGTGCTGTAGTCATCTCCATCATCTTCCATTTGTATACGAGGATTAAAAGTCAAATATTTGATCCAAAAAACTACTATAGAGTGTGTTTGGTAGGAATTTTTGGAGGAATAATTAATTTTTGAATAGTGATATGATGGTAAATGTGTGGTTGAAAAAGAAGAAAAAAGTATTGATGTGATGAAAAATATTTTTTTATTGAAGAATGTGTGATTGAAAATGAGTAGAAGAATGAGAATGAAAAAAATAATGTGCACCAAATAGAGTCTAAAACTTATTTTTTGTAAGTTTAATTTACTAGCAAAAATTCTGACCCATCCCCCGGTTGGTGCACATTTTGAAGGTAAGAATGCATTTTTATTGTTGATGTGATGAGAATATGTGGTTGAAAAAGAAGGAAATGTTATTGATGTGATGAAAAATATTTTTTTATTGAAGAATGTGTGATTGAAAATGAGAATTGATTTATTGTAGAAAATGAGAATCTGTACCAAACATGCTCATAATTTCCTCAGTTCAAACTTTGGTTCAATTAATTATTGAGTTTTAACATAAAATAACATCAACAATAACAATTTATCTTCTCTTTTTCCTTCTATTCATTCCACATCTTGTTCTAAGAAGAAAGTTTTACAAGTCCATCCTATACACTATATCTGCGTTTTACATACAACTTTTTGTGCCGAAAGTGTTTTTCGTCACCATTCAACAAAAGTTAATAAGTAATTTATTTATTATTATATTTTTTTAAAAGACAGAAAAATGTAGATGTGAAAGCGTGTCTATGCCGTGGCTGACCCCTAAATCCTCGAATTTTTCCACCTTTGTTCTGTACCAAACAGGCTCATAATTTCCTCAGTTCAAACTTTGGTTCAATTAATTATTGAGTTATAACATAAAATAACATCAACAATAACAATTTATCTTCTCTTTTTCCTTCTATTCATTCCACATCTTGTTCTAAGAAGAAAATTTTACAAGTTCATCCTATACACTGTATCTGCGTTTTACATACAACTTTTTGTGCCGAAAGTGTTTTTCTTTTCGTCACCATTCAACAAAAGTTAATAAGTAATTTATTTATTATTATATTTTTTTAAAAGACAGAAAAATGTAGATGTGAAAGCGTGTCTATGCCGTGGCTGACCCCTAAATCCTCGAATTTTTCCACCTTTGTTTACCCCATATTTCGTCTTCCCATATTCTCATCTCTTTCCACCCAAAAAAAGAAGAGTTAAAAAGGGTAATTCCATTCTTACTATATACAGTAAAGACTTGTAAAAGAAAAAAACAGCAGAAGATGCCAGCAGTCAATCCCACTGTTAAAGTTACGCAAACGGATTATCTTTCTTTTCAACCTTGAATGAAATGCTCTTTAAAAAGAATCTTCTTTTATATTTGGGTAACACATTCCTTAAACAAGGTATATTCATAAACTATACTCTCAGATCTCTCTTTTTACCCCTTTTTGCTTACTTAAACTTGATTCTTGTATATAAAAAAGAGTAGAGCTTGTGGGTTTTTTCGAAGTAGAGAGTATAAGCCCGCTTTACTTCCTTGAAGAACAGTTTGAATATTTTAATGTAGAAAATTGAGAACTTGGGTCATATTCAGACAATTATGGGGGCAATAAAGCATTGGTATTACAGTTGTAATCTTTTGTATATGCATACCATGTATTATGCAGAATAACACGTATGTTGTATCTATCTTATTATAATATTCTTTGCTTTTGAATTTTTCTTACACGTCTTGGGGGGGTTCAGACTCGGTTTCTTTGTTTTTTATTAGCAGTGCTCATTGCCCTCTTCCTTATTAAGTATTCTGGAGGCATAGTAATGGAGATGTGGTGCTCTCTCTCTCTCTCTCATTGCCCTCTCCCTTTTTAAGTATTCTGGTGGCATCGTAGTGGAGATGTGGTGATCTCTGGCTCTCTCTCTCTCTCTCATTGCCCTCTCCCTTTTTAAGTATTCTGGTGGCATAGTAGTGGAGATGTGGTGATCTCTCTCTCTCTCTCTCTCCCTCCCTCTCCCTCTCTAAATCTTTTGTTACACATACATATGGGATAGGTTATTGCCTGCACGTTTTTGAATAAACAATTTGATTTGAAGAAGTTTTCTTCTCGGTTTTAGCCTTGAGATTCATCACTGTTTTCCAGTTCTTCAGTTTATAGGTACTTTTTGTTGTGATATTTTTGGAGTTTTGTTGGAAAAACGATTAGAATTTTGGCATAAAAAGCAGCTATTTGATGGTTTCAGATAAATCGACTAAACCAAAAGCAAAAGTGTTTTGATGTACCACCCGAAGATGTATAATATATATAATTTTTTTCTAATTCATTATGATCAAATAAAGTAATTTTTGCAACTATGGAAGAGAGTTAATAGAGATGTTGAAATGTAGTAGGAATCTTGAGAGAAAAGAGAAAGAGAGCTTTCTGTTTATAATTTTAATTTAATATGAAATATTTATGGTACTCCTGGTTTTTATTTTCTTGATCTTAATGAATTTGCAGGTTCTGGTGAATAAGTACATAATTTTTCAGAGCAAACTTTTGTAGAATGGCTTCAAGATTCTTCAAAACTGCAGACTCACAATCTGGAAGGCCTGCAGGTCCTCCAACTGTGACATTTGCTCGGAGGACATCATCAGGTCGATATGTCAATTTGTCAAGGGATAGTCTTGATAGTGACATAAGTGGTTTGGAATTCTCAAACTACACAGTGCAAATACCAGCAACTCCTGATAATCAGCCAATGGATCCTTCGATGAGGGTGGATCCGCCAATGTCCCAGAGGGTTGAAGAGCAGTATGTATCAAGTTCTTTGTTTACTGGTGGCTATAAAAGTGTTACCCGTGCTCACTTGATGGATAAGGTGATCGAGTCTGAGACTATCCATCCTCAAATGGCTGGAGCAAAAGGTTCTTCATGTGCAGTCCCCGGTTGTGATGGAAAGGTCATGAGTGATGAGAGGGGTGAAGATATTCTCCCTTGTGAATGTGATTTTAAGATATGCAGGGATTGTTTTGTTGATGCTGTCAAAACTGGTGACGAGATCTGCCCCGGTTGTAAAGAGCCTTATAAGAATACAGATTTGGCTATAAACTCGTTGGAGCATGGTCAACCTTTATCTCTGCTATCTAATGTCGGGATGTCAAAAATGGAGAGGAGGTTGTCACTGATGAAATCGGCAAACAGGTCGGCGCTAATAAGGAGCCAAACTCGGGCTGATTTTGATCACAACAGATGGTTGTTTGAGACCAAGGGGACTTATGGCTACGGCAATGCTATATGGCCAAAGGATGGAGGATTGGCAAACGATAAAGATGATGAAACTGCTGAGCCTCTGGAACATCTTAACAAACCTTGGAGGCCACTCACCCGCAAATTGAAGATACCAGCTGCAGTACTCAGCCCATAACGGTAAAGTCATTATGCTTTATTGCTATCTATACTGTTTCTAAAGTTGTCATTGTTTTCTCTTCTGTTTGAATGCATCCCTAAAATTATTATTCGGGTTATTTAGATATATATTAGATGAAATCAATACTACTGAGATGTAGCTAAGGAATATAATACAAAAGATGATGTAAAATAATGGTTTAGTAAAGGAGTTGTGTGCTCTTACATCCAGTGGAAATCTATCAATTATGTAAAATAATGGTTTATATTCAGCATATCATTTCACTTTATTAATTATAATATTTTCCGTAGAATTTCAAAGCAATGAACTTACGAAAGTCTCGATTAAGCTCATGTTCTTCTGAACTAGCCAAACGTAGTGTGAGAAATATAATGTTAAGCCATATTTGTATGAATTTGAACTTTAAGAGGTACAAGAGGCTGATTAATAATTTGTGTACTTGAATCTCGCTGACTGTTAATTTTTATTCGTATGATTGTACTTGGACTATTTCTTGCATGGAGGATTAGTCACCCCAATGAGGATGCAAGATGGCTATGGTTTATGTCAATTATCTGTGAGATTTGGTTTGCCTTCTCCTGGCTACTAGACCAGCTTCCTAAGGTCTGCCCTATTAATCGTGCCACCGACCTTAATGTGTTGAAAGAAAAATTTGAAACACCCAGTCTGGCCAATCCGACTAGAAAATCTGATCTTCCGGGAGTTGATATATTTGTTTCTACAGCTGATCCAGAAAAAGAACCTCCACTTGTACTGTGAACACGATTCTGTCTATTCTTGCTGCTGATTACCCTGTCGAAAAGCTCTCTTGCTATGTATCTGATGATGGAGGTGCGCTTTTGACATTTGAAGCCATGGCTGAAGCCGTGAGTTTTGCTAACTTGTGGATACCTTTCTGCCGGAAACACAATGTTGAACCAAGAAACCCAGAATCTTACTTCAGCCTGAAAAAAGACCCCTATAAGAATAAGGTGCGGCCAGATTTTGTCAAGGATCGTAGGAGGGTAAAGCGTGAATATGACGAATTTAAGGTTCGAATCAATGGCCTTCCTGATTCAATTCGCCGTCGTTCTGATGCTTATAATGCTCGAGAAGAAATTAAGGCCATGAAGCTTCAGAGATAGACAGCTGGGGATGAACCAATGGAACCTGTGAAGGTATCTAAAGCAACGTGGATGACAGACGGGACCCACTGGCCAGGCACTTGGACAGTTCCTACTCACGAGCATTCTAAGGGTGACCATGCAGGAATCATACAGGTAATTGAAAAGACTTGGAATTTATAATTGGCTTTAACTAAGAATGCAAACTGTATGTAATCTTCTATTTGAGTTCCTTGTGCTGTTGAGTAACTCAACCGACAAGCTCTGGCTTTGTAAACTGCAGGTAATGTTGAAACCTCCAAGTGAAGAACCTCTTCACGGGACAACTGTTGAGAACAGTCCACTTGATTTTACCGAAGTTGACATTCGGCTTCCCTTGCTTGTGTATGTTTCTCGTGAAAAGCGTCCTGGGTATGACCACAATAAGAAAGCTGGGGCCATGAATGCGTTGGTTCGAGCCTCAGCCATAATGTCCAATGGCCCATTTATACTTAACCTTGACTGTGATCACTACATCTACAACTCTCAGGCAATAAGAGAAGGCATGTGTTTTATGATGGACCGTGGTGGGGACCGTATTTGTTATGTCCAGTTTCCGCAGAGGTTTGAGGGAATAGATCCATCTGATCGTTATGCAAATCACAATACAGTTTTCTTTGATGTCAACATGCGTGCTTTGGACGGGCTTCAGGGTCCAGTTTATGTGGGCACTGGATGCCTCTTTCGCAGGACTGCACTTTACGGCTTTGACCCTCCCCGATCAAAGGACTACCACTTTGGTTGTTGTAGCTGTTGTTCTTCCCGTCCTAAGAGAAGTTTATCGGTTTCTTCTGCACCTGAGGAACACAGAGCACTTAGAATGGGAGATTCTGATGATGATCAAATGAATCCTTCTCTCTTCTCTAAAAGGTTTGGAAACTCAATTTTTCTTATTGATTCAATTCCAGTGGCAGAATTTCAAGGCAGACCACTTGCAGATCACCCTGCTGTAAAGAATGGACGACCACCAGGTGCTCTAACCATTCCCAGGGAACTCTTTGATGCATCTACTGTTGTCGAGGCAATTAGTGTCATATCGTGCTGGTATGAAGATAAAACGGAGTGGGGCAATCGGGTTGGATGGATTTATGGGTCTGTTACGGAAGATGTGGTAACAGGTTATAGGATGCATAATCGTGGTTGGAGATCTATATATTGCGTGACTAAGAGGGATGCTTTCCGTGGTACGACACCAATCAATCTAACCGACAGGCTTCACCAAGTCCTTCGATGGGCCACTGGTTCAGTCGAGATCTTCTTTTCACGTAATAATGCTTTTCTAGCCAGTCCTAAAATGAAAATTCTGCAGAGAATTGCTTACCTTAATGTTGGTATCTATCCATTCACCTCTGTGTTTCTGATAGTATACTGCTTCCTTCCTGCATTGTCGCTCTTCTCTGGTCAGTTTATTGTCCAGACTCTAAATGTTACCTTTCTCACATACCTCCTCGTAATCACTTTGACGCTTTGCATGCTGGCTGTCCTCGAGATCAAGTGGTCTGGCATTGCTTTGGAAGAATGGTGGCGTAACGAGCAATTCTGGTTGATTGGAGGCACAAGTGCGCATCTTGCTGCCGTGCTTCAGGGACTACTCAAGGTCATTGCTGGGATCGAGATCTCATTTACTTCGACATCCAAATCTGCTGGTGATGATAACGACGATGACTTTGCTGATCTCTACGTCATAAAATGGACGTCCTTGATGATTCCGCCTATTACTATCATGATAACTAACTTAATTGCAATAGCAGTTGGTTTCAGTCGGACAATATATAGCACCATACCGCAGTGGAGCCGTTTGCTCGGAGGAGTTTTCTTCAGCTTCTGGGTTTTGGCTCATCTTTACCCATTTGCAAAAGGACTGATGGGACGACGTGGGAGGACACCGACAATTGTGTATGTTTGGTCAGGACTTATTGCAATCACCATTTCACTTCTCTGGGTTGCCATCAATCCCCTTGCTGGTAACAATCAAATTGGAGGGTCCTTCCAGTTTCCATGATTTTTCAGGCATGGCTCCTTTGGATATTTTAATTGGGATCCATTACTCTCTTGCAACCTAACAACAAATATGGTATGGGGTCACTGTGTAGTCATCACTATCATAACTTCAGTTTTTTGTTGTCTTAAATTTTTTATAGGGAAAGATGGTACATAATTTTTTGTTTGTACATCTCAACTTTGAAGTTGAAAATAGTTCATTTATTCTTTATATTTTGGCATATTCCAAGCGTTTGACTTTCGAGAAAGAATCTGAATCCCATATGCGTCCATGAAACTT